ATATGTGGCTGTGGTCTTAGATTGATGATTGTCTTTCTCTTTCCCGTGGAAAATCCATTTCCATCACCTTTTTTTTCTTCTTTTTCCAAGGTGATCTTATAAGAGATTTGACAAAGGGAAAGCTATAGTACTTCTAAAATGTTTGGTGGGGGTGCTACCAATGGAAGTTTATATTTGTGCTGGTTCAACTTTATATCCGATTTGCCGGAAAATATATACTTTATATCCTTTTTTGGTTTTGTCCATTTGGATAGTTGGAATTGATTAGGCAGATGTACATTAATTTCTCTTGTGTAATCTTATATGTACTGGAAAGACAATTGAACTTCTTATCATGCGCTAGTTGATTAGTCCCATTAAGCACGTTGGAGCTTTACCATAATTAATGATCATTCATATCGGCCAAATAAATCAAATTCAAAGTTGTGGATTCAAGATTTAAAAGTTAGTTGGTCAAAACTTAATTACATATACTAAATTTGATGATACGGGTGAATTTAATTAATAAATATATTTAAAAAAATACAAGTGTATATAGTCAGGGGGACATAATAAATGATCCTTACCCCTCAAATGTATCTCTATATAAATAAAAGCTTGATAAAAACCACAAGTACAAAATAACACTATTCAAATATCAATTGTAACCCACAAAACCATCAAATTCAACAAAATTCTTAAAATCAAAGCCCTAATTTAAACTCTAGAATATTCAATTTCAAATTAAAACTAAAATTAAATATGCATACATGTATTTAGGAGAAACCCAAGAGGAGAAAATAAGAGAATAGGAGAGAATTAGAAGAATGGAAGAAGAGACAGAGAAAAGGAGAAATACGAAGAAGTCAATTGGGCAAAAGACATGTAGGGTTTCTTTTATTTGTTTTAATTTTGGGCCGGGCTACTAAAGATATGTAGGTTTTTGTTTTGGAAATTTTGGGGCGTTAGCCCAGCCTGCCCTCCAAGCATATCTACACCAAAATGGTTTGGTTTTTATTTTATTAAATAAATAAAAAACGGAATTCATTGATAACAATTAAAAGGATACAATAGTATCATCTTGTACAATTGGCTCGGGGAACCTTTTCAATCCAAATTGCAATAAAATTACAATTAAGTGCATGCTTTGCTAGAATATGAGCTACTTTTGATTGCACCCCCTTGGACTGAAAGAAACAGTAACATCATCAAATTGTTGCAAACTCCTCTTAATATCATCAATGAGATGCCCATCTGATGCCAATGACTCTTCTTCACCATTGTTTAAGTCATTTACCACACTACTTGTGAATCAGACTCAACCAGTATTTGTTTAATTGCTTATGAAGAGAATGAGCCAATTTGGTTCAGCTATGCTACTAGGTTTGATGCCTAAACCGAACCAATCTACTACATCCATGGTGTTACTTTTAGTTCCTTCTGCAGCCAGGCGAAATCAGAACACCCTCATCGTTGTAGCTTCTAAGGGTCAAAATCATCACTAAGCCCATTCAGCTTTTGTATGGGCCATCCAGTGGATCGTGAGCTGACCCTAATTAGGTAGATCATGGCTTGACCCAGACCTGTAAGTGGGTTCAGCCCCATGATGAAGCTTGCCAATGTGTCTAATTGGGCTCAAATCTTAATCTTGATTTCGTTTTCAAGCCACAACCCTCAACCCCATTCTTCTTAGCCCTTCTCTAAGCTTTCCTATAATCCTCAAAGGAGCTGAGCATATGATTTTGGGTTGCTTTGTAAGTTAGACTATCAATGAAGGAAAAAGAAAAAGGGTCTTATTAGCTACATGGTAGACATAACAATCCAAGAGTATATTCAAATTATATATGAACTCCTTCATTAGGTTAGGAGGAGCAGATACAAGATTCAATATTTGGTGCTTCATCAATGGGATGTTAGTTGTATTGGTGCAGGTCTTTGGTGTGCTCCCACGTGGTCCTGGTTTCAAGAACTTCAAGCTCCCATAGTACCCATGGTGTGAGTTTCCCTCTTCCCCTTCCTAACGATGGCAACAGCAAAAATTAATAATTTTGGTGCTTCATGTGACTGGTAGTTATGTAGTCTGTGTTTCATGTGTTCAAATGCATATATAGAAGCTTAAAAATTCCTCCATGTTCTGTTAAACTATCCAATGTTGATTAATGTTCACTCAATCTTAGTCTTTCGCTATCTTCACCCGACAATAATTGACATTGTAATTCACATAAACTTCCCACGTTAGGTTGTGGTTTTATATGTAGAGAAAGATAATTAAAAAAAACCCAATATGATTCAAACAGTATGATTCAAACTGAATAATTAAACATTATTAGTTAATCCCAATAAAGTGGACGCAATTAATAGCCCCGTGCATGGCTGCATCTCCAAGAAGAGAAATGAAAGCCTAAGATCCCGCAGCCGGAGAAACTGCCTTCCAGGGCTAATTAATTTCTCCTTCACAGGGGCCTTAGATTGCTCCCGGAATCAAGAACATGCCCACATTTTCACCATCACATCGTTTGCTTGATTCACTTACGTGAGAATGATGTAATAATATTATACTTCTCCTATTACTTAAGCCTGAGTTTATTAATTTAGCAGTGTTATTTCTCTTTCCAATATTGGAAGATATCTCAAATTCGAATCACTTCCTCTTTCGCTTAGAAAGAGTTATAATTATTTGGGTCTGAAATTGAAACCAAGTCGACCTACTTCCAAATATCCAAAAAAGTGGCAGAGTCACTGACAAAATTCTATATCCAAACCTTCTTTTCTTCTTCAAAAGTAAGTAGTTTTGAATCAATAATGGTGCAAGGACGAACAAAAACAAGAGGAGAAAAGTAGATCTCCTTTACTTTATATGCATATACTGGTTCCCTTCCACAGTATGAACCTGACCTGGCGTTATAAACAGTAAGTACGCATGTCACCCATATATGTATTTTAGCATTTAAAAGCAGCCAAAAATAATAAATAAATAAAGTGCATTAAAGCAGCGACAAGATGTGCAGGAATTTTGCAGGTTCAAACTGGTTTGAATTTTTTTTAGACTAGAATTCTAGCAATATCTAGATATCATCATTGGTACTGGAGAGCGGTTCTTAGTCTTCTAGGTTTAGCTTATGGTAAAAGGGTGGAAAACATATTATAGGTCAATGTAGTCAACTTTAATGCGACATTATATGAACATTTTTTTTCAAGCAAAAGCGTGAAGATTATGCGAGTTTTTCTGCACATAATGTGAAAGTCGCCAAGCAAGTAACCTATCCTTCCTTCTTCAAAGACGATTAGAGGGTACGTACTTGCAATGAGATACCTAACTTCAAGGGTTTATTTGTTTCTAGTTTTACAAATGAAATTAATGACATAGACACATGTAAAATGCAATATTTATTAGAGCTTTTCTCCAAGGGAGATGTCAAATACCAAACATCAACACAGTTTTACACTCCAACCACCCGATATG